AGTCAGTCCCACCTTGATCCTCAAAGTGACATCCCTGCTTCGCAATACTTTTCAGAGGTCTTGTGCAGCCGATGTAGCCAGTGCAATGCATCATCTGATCTCCTGATTCTTACTTTCAGGGGCATTGACTGGGGGTCCAAGCAAGATGAAATCCTTGACAACTTCAGCCCTTTCTGTTTATTAGTCCAATTGTGAGGATTTGGGTTTTCTCTCTATTGAATTTTCCAAACTGAAGACCTGACCCTTGATCTTCATCAGCCAGTGCTGTAATTCCTCCTCACTTTCAGCAAGCAAGGTCCTGTCATCTGCACACCCCTTCCTCCAATTCTGACGCCACATTCTTCATGGAATCTAACTTCACCATTTATTAACCCGGAATACAAATTGAATACAACCCTGCTGCTTACCTTTCCTGATTTTAACCCAGGCGGTAGTATTCGCTTGTTCTGTTCACACTGCTGCCTCTGCATCCGTCCGTGTACAGCTTCCACATGACCACAATTAAGTGTTCTGGGATTATCACTCTTCTCAAGGTTTGTTGAGATGCACACAGTTGGATGCCATAGCAGAGTCAATAACGCACAGGCTAGCATCTTTCTGGTGTTCTCTGCTTCTAGCTAAGATCCATCTGACATCAGCAATGATAACCCTTGTTCCATCCTCTTTTGAATCTGGTAGTTCTCTGCCAGTGTATTATTGAATGATCTGCAACTGTTATTGAGTCATCTTCAGCAAAATTTTACTTGCATGAAATTCAATACTGTTGTTCTATAATTTGAGTGTTCTGTTGGGTCACGTTTCTTTGGATTGGGGACAAATGTGGGTTTCTTCCAGTTAGTTGGCCAGGTGGCTTTCTTCATAATTTCCTGGCATAACTGAATGATGTTTGCAGTGTTTCATCAACTTAGTTGAACATTTCGATTGGTATTCCATAATTCCTGGAGCCTTACTTTTGGCCGATGCTTTCAGAACAGCTTGGACTTCTTCCTTCAGTACCACTGGTTCCTGCTCATATGTAGTTCTTGAAATGGTTGCATGTTGTCTACTTCTTTTTGGTACAATGACTATATTCTTTCCCTCTCCTTTTGATGCTTCCTGCACCATTCAGTATTTGCCCGTAGAATCTTTCAATATTGCAACTCAAGGCTTTTAATGATGCTAACTAAGTAAGCATGTACACATCATTTAATGACTAATGAAGCTACCCCTGTGGTTTCCTGAAATTTTATTCTAGGTTTTTGCTTGTGTGATTTATCTTGTATTTCCTCAAAAGATAAACTTTCTAAATGGAAGTGTCCAATTCTTTGTTATGTGCAAAACTTCATTTTAAAATGAAATGTGTCATCCCCCCGCCGAATTTGTAGGCTGAAGTTGAAATTATTTACCAATTCTTCCAAGGTTGGTGTGATATACCATGTAATCTGTTTCCCAATTTGTTCTTATAAGGTGTGCTTTTCTCTCCCAGGTAACCTTGTACCCAGCTGTGAAAGACCTTCTGCAGGAGGGTATTTATCTCATTCTGGACCTCTGCCTTGAACGGGACATCCAGTTCCTAAGGGTCTCATTGCAGCCAGGTGCAAGAGAAGTCTTTAAAGAGCTGTACAATGATTATCTGAAGTACCACAAAGCCAAGCATGAAGGGGAGAAACGATACACCGTCTAATACCTCAAAGTACTCTTCGTGATGCTTTTAAAGACCTTGGAAGAGGATTGGACAATGAAAGGAATCACGTTATAATTTACAATTAAAATATGTAGATAATCCTATAGGGTTTTTATATTTTTCTACTCAAGGCTTTATTCATTTAGTATTTTTGATAGGTATTTTTATGTACTGAGTAGCACAATAAAATCATGACAAAAGATCCTGGAATGAAATTAAGTCAATAAAAATATTTACTGTATTTACCTTATGACCACTCCAAATGTGCTTCTGTCTTGCAGTGCTTTGATTGTCCTTGCTAAGAATTATGTCGAAGTTTTGTTTTGTTTTTAAGAAAGCTTCAGGTATATGAGTATATCATTAAGGCCTATTTGCTTATCCTTTAAATTCTTTCAGTAATACAGGAATTGTTTGTGAACTGCTGCTTTCCCTGTCTTCTGTCTGCTTACGCCTTGTGGTCAGTCTGGGCAGAATCAGTCCCTCACGAGTCTTTCTGAGCGTGGAGTGTGCCTGCGCAGTGTGGTGCCACGTGCCACTCACATGATTGGCTTTCAGTGGGATGCCGGCTGGGGCTCATGGTCTCCTGCCTGCTCTTCGCACCTTAGCTCTCTAGAGTTCAGGTTAGGATGTTTTTTACTGTTCAGTCTAAGAAATGGTATTACTGGGTTGTTATTATGGGAAGGCCATGCCTTGAAATTGACTAGAAATGTGCTAATATAAATGTGATCAATACGTCGATCGCGATCAACTAGTCGATCGCAAATGTAGTGTGGGTAGATCACATGGCATTAAAAAAATAGACGTAAGCCTATCATCAATCCCGTCAATTGATATACAGTGAACCCTCGCCACTTTGCGCGTCGACTTCCGCGGCTTCACTCTATCACGGTTTTTGTGTAAGAGCGCATGCTCTGTCATTACTGCCACTGATTGGCTCATACTGTACACGCTTCTGTCTGCATCGCTACATATCGGAGCTACGTATCAGATGCATTTTTGCTTTTGTACAGTGTACTGTAATTGTTTGCGATTTTTAAGAAATTTTATCCAAGCCCTGTGATGGCTCCTAAACGAGCTGCTTCTTCTAAGCCTTCTGACAATAAAAATAAGCGCCAGAGGAAGATGCTCACCATCCAGGAAAAGGTAAAACTTTTGGATATGATCAAAGATGGCAAGAAAATCGTGGAGGTTGCACGCCATTTCGACTTGAATGAGTCTTCCGTTCGCTCCATCCGTTGTACTTCATAATATAATAAATAATAAATGATAATTGTAACGTCCAAAATGTTTTACTGCATTTTCCCTTTTTCGTTTAATAAATTGGGTAGTACGAGTGTAATGGTGACTAAAGGGTGTTTTTTCATGTCCTCTATGCTCTAACTACGAAAATATTTGATTTACAAATAAGGAATCCTACTTCGCGGAATTTCATTTATCACGGTAGGGTCTAGAACCGATTAACCGCGATAAACGAGGGTTCACTGTACAGTGCAGCCAATCAGATGCAATCTTAGGTGTCAAACGCATGTACAAACAACTGCGCTAAGTGCAGCAAAACTGACAAGCTAAGTTATCGCCAATTCTTAGACCTTGTTTTTTTTCTCTTAACGTAAGAAAGGGTATTTAAATGAGCGGGGGAGCTGGACCAGGTAAGAAGACAAAAACCTATCACTTTCATACGGAATGGGAGATTTTGACACTAAAAGCCGACATTCAGCTGAAGTCCAGAGCCAAGAAAAAGTCCGGAAACTAAACGCAAGAGGGAAAGTGCCCAAACATGAGAAAATGTGCTCCCTCCTTGACTGCATTATTCAGCTCTACTTATTTATGTGAGTCAGCCTTTTCCCACATGAAAATCATTAAGTCCAAGTACCGTTCCACCATGACTGATGGTCATTTGGAAGTGTGCTTGAGGCTGACTGTCAGCAGCTACTGCCCGGACTATGCATCCCTGGCTCATTCCACTCAGTGCAAGTCATCAGAGTAAACTCAGGTCATGACAAAAAAATGTACATAGTTAATTGTGTTGTGTTGTGCAACGTGGACTCGTGGTTATGTAAGGTACATAAACATACATGGTACATATAAAGACTCCTCAATGCATTTGTTAATAAATGTGATAAATATGCCTTGCATTTTTGTAGGTGGTAGATCAGTTTGAATTGATCATTTCATAAGTAGCTTGCATGCTGAGGAAGTGTGAGCACCCCTGCCATAGAGGTTAGCAGACAGACAGCAAAGACCAGAAGCAGGAAGGAGAAAAGGCATAAAGAGGAGGCGAGGACCCGCCTTAAAGAACTTGTAACATGGGCCAAGGGCTGTAACAATAATAGTGTGAGACCTGGGAGCAGCCTTGTGCAGAACTGGTGGTGACAGGCCTGGGAGGGAGCCAACAGCAGAATCCGGAGGGACAGCAGAACCTGCCGGGAATGAAGCGGAGAGCAGAACGGAGCAGCTACACTGAGCTCAGTCATCAGAGGAGAGGCTGATGACAGAGTTCTGTCCGGAAGGGGTTGAGAGGAGAGCTGCATGGCTGAGATGGGGTGCAGATCACAGAAGGAAGGTCTGCTTGTTGAATGGCCAACAAGAGTTACAGGCGAGCAGGAGTCTACTGCAGGAGGGAGGCCAATGCTCTGCATTTCAGGGAAGCCTGCCCGAGTTTGCTCACATGCTCCCTGATCCTGAGTTGTACTGTTTGATGCTGATCCTCTTACTTACTAAAACACCTAACAGTGTAAGCTTGAATTCTCTGGGCCATTGCAATGGTTTGAACCCATGAGGGAAGTAGAGAATCCCATCGGAGGTGTCAGAATTGGTACAAAAGGTTGGAGAGTGAAGGAATGCCTGGCCGCCAACGCATAGGAATCAGCTTTGTGCTGGTGGTGACTCTCATTAGCCCATAGGAAGCTAGACAGGTTCCGATACTATCAAAACTGCATCAAACCCACTGGCGTTGAGTTAATTTCAACTTAGAATGATCCCATATAGGGCTTCCAAGACTAAATCTTTATGGCAGCAGACAGCCGCATCTTTCTTCCAGGGAGCAGCTGGTCATTTGGAGCCACTGACTTTGTGGTTAGCAGCCCAGTACCTGGCCCACAGCACCACTACCATTTTGCCAATGTTAACAGTCCTCTCATTGTGTTAGCTATCCAGACAACCACTGGTACCAACTTGGTATACCTGGTTTTGTCCCTTTGCCATGCACTGACTTATATTCTTATGGCATATTTCCATAGCTTCCAGACTCAGTAAAGACATTTGGGGGTGGTAGTCCATTAGTAGTTTTTCTGCTTTATTGAAGAAATCTGGATCTGAGCACTCGGTCTTTCTAGATCTCCCTTTATAGATGGTGCTTGCAGCTAAATCTTTGTTTCTATTTTTAATTATATTCATAAGATGTATTTCTAGAAGTTGCTGAGTTTTAAAAAAAGTCCCATTTTAAGGATTTGCACAGATGTTGTCTAATTGCCCTTCAGAAAAATCTAATTTATTTTATTCACTAGAAAATCGATAGTATTTTTACTTTTTGATTTATGTATCACTGATAAGAGAAACATTTTTCAAATTTCTTTAATTACTGAAATTAAACATTTTTTATTTTTACTATTCTTGTTCCTTATTATACATTATGCTTATGAACAAGCACAAGTCAAAAAGTATTGCCATTAAATAAAAATAAAACGTGAAGCAATTGCTTCTCAACATGTCTCCATCTAGGTTTATATAATTCTGCAGGTGATATTTCCATCTCTCTAGCTCTTCCACCAAAAATTCTACACTCTGTGATTTCTACTACATCAAAACAGCAGTGTGGCCACCTCAAGGGACTCAAGTCCGGTTCTTTTAGAATGTTCTTTGAGTTTGGGGATCAAAGACAAGAATGGATGGGAAAAGGTGTCCCAATGAGATTCTCCGAACACTTGCTGTCCTTGAAGCACGAGCAGGGAAATGGTCACGAGAGAAAGAAATCTC